TAGGGTTTAGGGTTTAGGATCTAGAATCCCAGAAAGTTGGAACATGGATTCGGGAGGATTAGTTCTGGGGATTCCCTGTTCTCTAACCTTAAAGTTAGTTCTGGGATTCCCTATGCTCTAACCTTAAGGGCGTGAGGATCACGATGTTCCAACTTCCTGGCTTCTGCTGTAAACTGGGGTACCATAAGCGCTATTATGAGGGTCTGGAAAAAGTTCAGGGTTCCTGTTTATAATTAAACTATAAAGGAGCCCAAAACCCTCAGTAATAAGAATAGGGTTTTGGGCTTCTTTATAGTTTAGTTATGATAAGGAACCCTAAGGAAAACCATTCGTGATGCTCTTAGGCTTCTTTTGTTGCATCCCACAGCCAGGGTTTAGAGTTTGGGCTCAGGGTCAAGGGTTTAGGGTTTAGGGTTTAGGGTTTAGGGTTTAGGGTTTAGGGCCTTAGGGCTTAGGGTTTAGGGTTTAGGGTTTAGCAGCACTCGTGGTGTGCCTGCTGCGACTTATGTTTCTTCTACGGTCTTTTCAGCTTCCAGGGCGGCCATATGACCGTTGCGTGCTGCCGTTCCTGCTCTTCCTGCTTGTGCTGCTGCCGCTGCTCTCCTCCTCATGCCCTGCTGCTTGGAGGTTCATGGGTAGTCATAAGTGGAGAAAAAAGCCCTTGATATAGGTTATGTAGTTATCCTACATGTAAGCCTACTCATCACTACCCATGAACCTCCAAGTACTACGACTAAGACGACTAGAACCCTAAAGCCCTAAACCATAAAGTCGATGTCGAGCCACGGTTTAGGGTTTACGGGGGGTCTAGGGTTTAGGGGTTTAGGGTTCAGGGGTTTAGGGTTTAGGGGCGAAGGGTTTAGGGTTTAGGGTGTATGGTTTGGGTTTTAGGGTGTAGGGTTTAATTAGGAGAGCAGCGGAGCGGTGTTGTAGAGTATCGACCTGGGCCTGATAGAGCCCTAAACCCTAAACCCTAAGCCCCAAACCCTAAGCCCGAAACCCTAAAT